CGGGAACTCTTTGCAATGAGCATTTCTGTGCTGCAACAAAGAAATGCACCCTGCAAAGAAAGCTTCAAATTGGCGGGAAATTCTCCCTTGCACCGGGGTTCTCTTTTGCAGCAGAAAACTCCACCGTGCAAAGAAGCTGTAATTTAGCGGGGACAATTTAGCAGTGCCGAAGCACACACAAACAAAAATCACACCCTTTGGGTTGTGACAGGGGGATTTCTTCAAAGGCTTCGTGCCTCCACATGGGGTTTCCAGCACTCCAGCAGGAAGCCACACATGGAGGCACTGAGCTTGGCTGGCCCAATGGTATGTGGTTCTCACCTGCAGAGTGGCGACCCCCACATGCTAGCATGGAGCCAGCCCGATCTTGTTTGAAGGCACATGCTAGCAGGCCGGGCTGGGCTGACTCCGGGCCGTCACATGCAGCACCAGGGACTCAACCAGAAGCGCATGCTGCTGGGGGCTCTGCCTGCCATGGCCCTGAGCATCTCAAGGACCCGCCACCTGCTGCTGCCAATGGCAGGGACTGTGTACCATGGGGGTAGGGGAGGAGATTGACATGTGGTGGGGAGGTCCACACCCAACCACAAATCCCATGCCCACCCAGATGGGATGGGATTTTTGGCACAGATATTGATATACGATGAAATGTAAAAAAAAATAAGAGTAATTAATTTTGAATAATTTTGAATTTTTCTGCACATAATTCCTTGGGATGTAATATCAAATGTAGGAAGCAAAAGAGGAAAAAAAGAAAAATGTACCAGTGCCTGTGTTAAGTCACATGCACAAATACAGACAGGCAGTGAGAGAAGATACAAGTATTACTTAATGTAGGTATCCTGGTTTTCTCTGTTAAAAAAAATCCAAAATTCTCTTATAAAACCCCCAATATTCTCTTATTAAAAATCCCCAAATCCGCATTCTTTCCATGATTAAAATGAAATGCCACTATATATATAGGTTCCAGTCAAACAATGTTTTATTGCTATATTTACAATTGTAAGCAATTTAGAAGCCTACCAGTGCCTCAATCATTATAATAAAATAAATTCTAAATACCTATATATTTTGTTGTTTGATTTTGGTTTTTATTATGGAAAATCAGAGCTCCCCCTACCCCCTTTGCTCACCAGGATGTGGGTCTTGCTGCAGCTGCCCCTCCCTCTCCCCCTCCCACCTCCAGCTGCTTTGTGGTGCTGTCCAGACCTGATATGCCAGCGCCGTGCCCCTTCCCATGCAATTATGTCTCACTCCCAAGCCACTTCACTCTCATCCCTGCCGGTGTCCCTCACTCCCAACCTGCAGCCCCCTGGCCCTGCCAGTGTCCCTCACTCCTGACCCACAGCCCCCCATCTCTGCTGGTGCCCCTCACTCCCAACCCACAGGCCTCAGTCTAATTAGTACTAGTAAATACAAGCACTCTCCTATTGCAAAGTAAAAAACTCCACTGCAGTGCATGCGCAAATGTTGCCCTGACTGGCTGGGGCATGAGGGTGCTTTAGAGTGGGAGCTGCCTACCAGCTAGCCCCTTCCTGAAGCACCTTCATGCCCCAGCCAGTCTCTCCGCAGCACATTGAGCCAGGAGAAGCAGCCCTGGGCTGGTAGGCTGATCCCCAGGGGCCTCTGCCAGCCAGGGCTACTTTGCCCTGGCTCAACGTGGTATAATCCCATATATGCATGCAGACATGCACCCAGCAGCAATATGCTCTGGAGTGATTTTGTGTTGAAATCGCTCCAGAACTTATTGGTTTGCTAATGAAATCCACACCAAAAGAGAGACTTGGGCTCCATTGTATTTAATCTCGTCTAGCCATACACAGCTAAAGTTCTGTTAAGGCAACAGGCAGGCAAGGTTCTTTGAGTAGATGTGATATCTTTTATTAGACCAACTGAGTAGTTGGAAAAAAGTTCTTCGTAAGCTTTCAGGCGCAGTCACCCTTCTTCAGCCATAGGAAGTTTCTGCTGTTCTGAGACTCTAAGGAATGAAAGAAGCTAAAAGTGTGACAGGATGTCAGTGAAAATGTAAATTAGGAAATTAGGAAAACAAAAGGTAAAGCAGAGAAAGGGGGTGGGGAGAATGAAGAGGGAAAAACGCCAAAGGCGAGTAAGGGAGACTCTACAGTAGCAACAATCATTCAGGTTATAGTTATGACCCATTTTGTATTTTCCCATGTAACTACACCTTAGCCATTAGTCCAACATGGGTGGTGTAAGATAACTAAATATTTACTTTTGGGCGCAGTAGGTTGACTTTGTAAATGAACTAATTGCCATATTTCAAAGGTCCTTAAATAGCCAATTTTCTGAACTACCTGATCTGTTTCCTAACACTCAGCTGAAGCCTTTTGCTTCTCTTACTGTCGTCACTCAAGGAGATTTCTGCATGCTCTGAACGTGGTCTGTGTGCTTGATCTGTGGTAATTCCTGGAATTTCCCCATGTTCTCAGAGCCTCGTGTCACTATGTCACGAGTGATGGCATGGGAAAGAAGCTTAGAGACTGGAGGAATCCTCAGTGTTAAAGAATTACCAAAAGTCAGTGTCAATGAAGAAGTATATCTAGTCACAGAATCTGTGGTTAGCAATTCATATTAATGGCAGTTTTATGACCAAACCATCTTTTCTTTCAGTAGTTTTTGCAATTACTGATTTGGGAATAAGACAGTAGTTAAAAAAATCAGATATGAGAAGCCAGAAAGTTTTAAATGTTAGCTTCAAAGCACAATGCCTTACCAAGTCATACTTCCCCATGAGGAGAGTTCTCCTGACATGGACAGATTTTCCAAGAGAACTTCATTTATGCCAAGTCACTGGGCATGTCTACACATGCACTTTACTATCCAGTAGACTAATTTGCAGCATAGTAAAGTGTCACCATCTATACATGAGTGGAAATTAGGGTACAGCAGACTCAATTACTGCGCCATTGGATAGTCCCATCAGACACCAGTACTATCCAATGGCGGAATAAATTATCTGTGCTTAAATGCATATATAGATGGTGACATCCAGATTAGTTTACTCCAACTCAAATTGTGCCAGGATTTATTCTGTCACATTATATGCACATGCAGATGCACCCACTGTTCAGCAAAGCTCAATCTTAACGTGCTCTTACTACTCTTATATCAGGGGCCTTCTATTCTGTTCTGGTCCTTCTCTTTATTAAGACCTCAGTTTCTCTGCATCAAAGTCCCATGCCCCCTCCCCATACCCCCTCCCACTCTATCTCCAGGCCCATGTGCTAATCATTATAATCCTCAGGAAATGAATTATACTGCTGGGAAAATGGTATTAGGGTTAACTCAGTTTAGCTAGAGAGAGGATTAAAAAAGACTGCAGTTCAGACCATATGCTGTGTTCATTTAGCTTGTGCAATTCCTGCTCATTCAGTACGTCTCAACAAACCAGCCAGCGAATGGAACTTCCTTGACAGCTAATCTAATATCTAGATAAAGCTATACCATTTTGTAAACATGTAAAACTATGAATTCCTGCTCTGATTTTAATGCACAGTTTAGCAGATGAACAGTAGGGAGGGGAAAAAAAAGGGAGCTGGGGTTCAGATACAGCTAAAATGTTAAAAGGTTCAATGTCCTGGTTGAAAATACTTCCTTAGCTGATGCTATTGTGCTGCATTTTAACATTAAAACAAGCAAGCAAACACCACAAGTTGAGGGAAGAAGATTGTCAATATTCTCACTTGTCAATTTGCTAATTTTGATCAGCCTGTATTACAGCTTTAATCATGGGCAGAAAGTCTGGGAACAGCCACCAGTGCTATAGGAGAGACTGCACCCCCTACTCCCATTTCTCCCTGCACTGGGCAGGCATACCCTGCAGAAAGAGCAGCAATGGTGGACTTTTTTTAAGTTCCCCAAATCAGGTAAGAATCTTCCCTCTCTCCCACTTGGTCCCTGATCCCTTCCAATCTGTGTTCAGCAAAATGTTCCCTCCCCTTCATCCCTCTCCTTCCCCCACCTCCCACTGCTGCTGTCCCAGGCTGTGCCAAGGGTAGGGGGCAAGGCTTCAGAGCCACTCATGCCTGCTCCAGCTGGGAGCTGGCACTGGCTGCAGACAGTGGCAGCAGTGGTGGTGGGAGCAGTGGCAGTGGTAACACGTGGGTTCCGATTCCCCCACACAGGCTCCCAAGCTGGCAATGAACACACCCCAAAAGAAGGAGGGAGGAGCTATCTACCCACTGCTGCTGCTATCCCCAGCGGAGCTTGGATCACTACAGAGCCAAACTGGAGTGGGGCATAAGTGGCTGTGGAAGGGGGAATGGGAGAGGGGATGGGATGTGCCATGGAGAGGAAAAGAGTGGGAATTATTACTTTTTTCAGGGACTTAAATAGAAGTCCCCAACTGCTGCTCCCATGGCATCAACTGAAAAGGAGCTACAGCTGGCCACATTCTCCCTCTGGATCTGCCCCTGGCTTTAATATTGCTTAACATAAGGCATTACAACAGAGTTAAAATTATCTCAGTAACATTATTATACAATAACCCTAACTCTGCCTTCACTGACACCCATGAAATCGCATTGCTTCCATCGTGATTTTGCCCAGTAAGACGAATTACCAAATTGCTTGTGAGGCTGGGGGAGGGGAGGAGAGAAAAGGGGAAGAAAGAGAGACAGAGCAAGAGAATGAACGTATGATACTTCAAATGCATCTAACTTGGTAGAGATGGGCACCTGGGCAAAAGCTGCCATGTTCTTGTAATGGCAATGATATTGAAACTTTAATAGAATACACAGAAGTCTGTGAACTTTTCTAGCTGTAGCTCTGGCTATCTAAGCAATTAATTAAAACACTGCATTGGGCTGCTGCTGTTTGGAAAAGTAGTTATAATAGGCGTGGTATGTTAAGTGGAGCGAGTGAGCAAATACAGAGGCTAAAATGTGTTTGAAAATGGGAAGCACAACGCTGCAAAGAATGCAGCTGTCTTCAACAAGCAACTTTGAGGGCCCTTCCATAGAATTTATCCTCCCAAGCAAAACATGACGGGGAAGCAAATTAAAATTAAGTGGGTGATAAGCATTTTTTTTACAATAGCATGATTTTCTTAGTCTGACTGACAAAATTCTGCTCATTCTCATTTACTTGTATGCAACCACACAGATTCATTGTGCCTTCTTCAGTCCAGTGGAAAGTAAGTGTGTAGCAGAGAACAAAATCTGCACAGCTGTGGAAATTTGACCAGAAATCTCTTGTGTTCTTCATTCCCAGAACAAGGAAAATAAAAATCCACAGTGTAACATTTGTATTAATTTGTTTTCCTTAAACCCCAATCTTGATTCAAACTCAACCCCTAACTCGGTGAAGTGGAAATAGTTTTGGAAGGGGGCATCATTATCTCCTAGGTTCAACCTTTGAAAAATAGAATGATCCCATGCTGGGAATAATACACCAGGGCAAGAATATAACTAAAGGTTGGGCGGTGCTTTAATTAGCACCTATGTAGGGCAGTTTATATGGATGCAAGAAGTGCTTGCTTTGCTTAGTGTGCTGAAATATATACCTAGTAATATGCCTACCACTATGTGAGGCCTTTGTGTTTGCCAAGCCAGAAACAAAATCACCCCTTTATTTAAGGATTATTGAATGTTTGTTTCCTGGTTTTTAGAAATAAAACCAGCCTTTGAGCAAATACAAAACCCATGGTTAAAGGAAGTCTCACAAACCCAGTACATAAGTCCACAAAGAAATGTTTGTAATTATTCAATGGGATTATTTTAAAGCACTAGAAAAAGCACATCTTGTCTTGCTGATGAATACGACACAGGTGACACATTTTTGTTTGAATAAACTTATAAAAGGAATACAACTAGATGTCATTAATTTGTAAATGACATCAGCAGCTGCTCTGAAGCTTAATCGAGCATTAACTAATATCCATTTAAAAACAAATTACTGAGGCTAAAACAGTTTCTAAAGATTGTGAATAATTCCATGACTGAACAATCACAACTGACCAGAGTTGGGGGGAAAAAAATAAAAGCCAAGTCAAGAGTAAACTGTCTTTTTATCCCATTTACACTCAGGCCTGTTTACATCAGTCTGGCAGTGTAACATGATCTTAAAGTCTGCACAAATACACTTTACACCTCGCTGTAACCCGAATATGAGATGAAGAATTATGGCTAGGTACAGACATTCAAAAAGCCTGAGGCAGAATCAAGCTAAGTTATGTGGTTTTCTGTAAGTGGCATAGTTTAGATCAGTAGTGAACAGAACACACAGGTGCCCTTTGATTGGGGTGGGGAATATTAGACCACGTTCCATCATCTTTAAACCAGACTTTGTGAGCCGAACTTCTGTTCTGTTATGGGTATAGGCCTGTTTTGTGTGCCAAACTTCTGTTCTGTTAGGGCTATAGACCAGTTTCCAATCACTTATACTGGTAAAAGTATAATGTCTGTATCTGGCTTGAGTGGTACAGGGGTATAGAGTAACTATTATTCCAGAAGAGACTGAAAAGGCTAGGACTTCCTTTTAGAAAGGAGAAGGCTGAGGGGAGATAAAGACAAAGGTCTATATAATCATGAAGGACAGAAATAAAGGGTGTGAACAGAACTGCAGCTCCCAGCTGTAACTCAGAACATGTTCTGCAAAGCGTTTTGAGTTACAACATTACCTCAGACCACACGGAAGTTCGCTGTTGGTTCCAGGGGGAGGGGAATCCAGCTGCTGCTGGGATCCTGAACCCAGGTTCCCGTAGCAATGGCCAGGACTCTGAGCCCGTGCTCAGTTTTTAGAACAAGAGGGGAGAAAGGCAGCGGAGGGAGCTCATTCTTGGGGCTCCCCAGCTGGTGCTGAAGGGTGGGGTGGGAGAATTGGAGCCCTCCCCTCCCACCTTGGGGATGCTCCAATACCCCTGCCCACCCTCTGGGGGGGGGGGGCAGGGGCTGAAAAACCCCCCGACTGAACTCCCTCTGCTCCCTTTCTTTTCTCCCTATCTGAAAACAGCAGCAG